ACTCTACAAGAACTTGTGAAAAATGATTTATGGTTGAAAATAGTTTATTGTACCAAAAATGATTTTTTACAAGAGCTTGTGAAAGTATAAGATTCTACAAGAACTTGTGAAAAATGGTTTTATGGTTGGAAATGATTTGTTATTTGTAATTTGACGTTATTACTTCACTTAATTTATTATTATTGTGTAAACTTGAGATCTATTGAAATGTTTTTGTTTTCTTTCAAAAATTAATATATGATATTTGCAAAATGAGACCAACTTGTTTTACATTTTTTCTAAACCTTGTTCGAGTTTGGGAGGAATGTTGCTATAGAGCTTAATGCTCACCCCCTACAAATAATATATTACAGATTATGTGCTAGATGAGGAGCTTAGAGTCGATAAACAGGTGCATTGGGAAGCTCCGCTAGATGGGCACGTGTAACTTAAGGTGGATGCTTAGGGCTATACTCTCCTAGGTGCTAGATTAGGAAATTTCTTTTGAGACTCGGTGGAGTCTAATATTTTTGTTATTTCGCTGTAAATTAAATTTGATTCTTTTAGATGTAATTGTTATGGTTGAACATATTATTTTGGGATGATGTTGTGAATATTAGATATGATGAATGAATTTTTATTTATTGATGGATTATATTTGTTGCTATCATGATGTAAATGATTTTAAATTATAATGTCATCCAAGGCAATTTTTGGGACATTTCAAGAAGTGCCACCAACGCACGAAGTAATTGAAAAGTAGGTCTGGCATCCCTAACCAATAGGAGGAATTGTCTCCATTTAGGGGCAAGAAAATTGAGAATTTGACTCAGAACTGGAGGCATCAATTAAGGTAGTGTCCTAGGAAGTCTCCTAGCAAGTCTTTGGATTTTTTTTTTTTCAGTTTTTTTCTTCCTTTTTTGGGTTTGGGGAAGGGGAAGGGGAAGGGGAAGGAGAAGGGAGACTTGAACCCTTGACCTCAAAAAGACAAAACCTTCATAAGCCAAGGAATACAATTAAACCAAAGGTCCATTAGTAGCAAGTCTTTGGATTCATCAATGGCTTAAGAGGCTTGATTAGAGAAAAATCTAGCTGCACCAGGCAGGCACTGGAGTGGCTATTTGACAATCTGAATTGACTAGGGGGTGCAAGGTAACCGCCGTTTCCCCCATACAAGCATTACTAGAAGAAGCACCCCAACTAGTGCTTTCTCCGTAATGCCACCTCAATGGGCGCGGCAGGCTAGAAATGGTCCCTAGAGAAATAACAACCCATTGTTCTAGGAGGATATGCTCCACATTTCCAAGTTTGGGAGGCAAAGGAGGCAGCTGTTGATCATTTTTCCAACGGACCAACTAGATGAAATTATCTAGGAGTATGTCGGCCCCACCATGCGGCGAGTCACCAGACCGACGTATTGAAAGCCATACCCTGATTTGGTAGATAGGGATAACAAATGCTCTCGTGGCTATAAAATCCCAGTTTTTGCAAAGTTCTCTGGCAAGGACAATCAATCGGTCATGGAGCGCATAAGATGCTTTATTGTGCAATGCGGCAAATCGAGGGCACACGAATTCTTGAAATTGAGGTTATTTGTTTATTCCATAATTGGGACGACCTTTGGATAATACATAGACTTGCTGCCTAACTTAGTGTTAGGCAAACAACAGTTGGGGGAAAAATTCCATGCCCAATTCTACAACATTGACCCTGAACTAGCTATAGTTGACTTAGCTAGGTTATACCAGACGACTAGAAAGACTACGGAGCAATACAACACACATTTCAAGAAGGCAAGGACACATATGTAAAGCCTTAGCCAGAGTTTCAACACATTAGGCACAAATCCCATTGAGTGCTAAAAAATGTGTTGGAGATAATAATCGGAAGTATGAGTTTAATATTTCAAAGGCCAATCAAATCTTTGACCATCTTCTAGCACATAACGTTATCAAACTGTCTTATGGTCACAATATTCCCTCGGTTGTAGAATTGAAGGGAAAAACGTATTGTAAATGGAACAACCAGTGGAGCCATACTACAAACAATTGTGTGGCATTCTGCAATGCCATTCAAGACGGACTAACTAAGGGCCAGCTAATATTCAGAGAGAGAGCAAAGTCGAAAATGGGAATCGACAAGGACCCTTTTCAGAAGACCTCCACCATTAACATGTGGTGGAATTTGGGTAATCAAAAACCTTGCGGAAGAAGGTTGATTTAGATGGTCACTACAAAAAAATTCACTTTTAGCAACTAGATTTAGATTGTAGCTACAAATATTGTCACTGAATGAATATATTTAGTGGCAAAAAATTATTATTGTCACTGAAAGAGTGATATTAAAATTATTTAGTTGCCATAATTAATTGTCACTACTAATGATATATAATTAGTAGTGAAAAAGTATTGTTGTCACTGAAGATATGATAATGAATCTAATTAGTGACAATTTAAATGTTGCAACAAAAATATATTACTAATTCATCACTAATTCTAAATATTTAGGGATAATAATTTAAATTTAGTCACTAATACTATAAAATTTTAGTGATAATATTTTTCAGTTGCAGTAAATATGCCCTGTTTTAAGCTGCAATTTTTTTTTTGGTCACTGAATGTCAATTTTAGTATTGGCAAAAATTTATGGATTACTCTCACCGTTTTTCACGCGTTAAACCTTTCCCCTAAAATTACTCTCTCTCACTCTCTCGATCGTTGATCTCTCAACTACTTAGCCGTGACAATTCCCACTGGTTTGAAGACTCCCTTGAAGACACCTCCATCGCCACCATTGCCCTGGATGTTGAGAAGGCTGAGCTCAATTTGAAAATTGACGAGAAGAAGATTAAGGTGCCACCATCGATTGTCACGCATATGCTTGCTCTCTCTCTCTCTCTCTGTGCACGCACAATATCAATGATGATCTCACAAAATATAAGTAGTGCGAACAATGTAGAAATATCTAGTGACGAGAACGACGCGTCCCCTAAGTACGAGTCTTTTGAAGAAAATGCCAAACATAAGTTTGACTATTCGACTACGGTCCATGAATAGCTTGATATGGTGAAGAAAGGATTATGCCCAAAGTGCAAAGCCTACTATGGATTCATTCTGGAGGAGGAGGAGTGAGAAAAGGTAGGCGAAAGGATGTGAAAGAGATGACACTACAAGGGCACCCATTGGGAGAGGCCGGGAGAGTGGTTGCTGCGAAAGCAGGACCACGAAGATCGATCAAGAAAATTTATGAGACTAAGTTACAAGGAACATAATAGGGATATGCTAGAGCCACCACGAGGGCGACGTATGCTAAAATACGGGGAGTTCTCGATAAGATTGACTCCTAGGTAGGCAATTAAGGCCGAGGGGTATTGAGATCGTCCAAGGATGATCAAGCCAACAGTACCCCAAGAAGGCTAATGGTATGTAGTCACCTCTAATGACTAGAACTCATAAGAGACGATGGCAACACATTCAAGAAGATATGCACAATTGGGAAGAGGAGCACGATTAGGAAGCCCATGAGGGGTGAGAGGCCTTTCGTCGGTGATTTCCCAAGTCATTAGTGATCAAGTCCGAGCATGGAGTTTCTCCGCTTCGACAGTGCACAGTGATGCCGAGGAAGGCGATAGACTTGGAGAAAGGGAAATAGAAGGCAGACCTGGAACTGTCGCCTGGAAAGGATAGAGGAACGAATGGTGCGAAAGGTGGTGGAATACCTTAGGGCTACACTGAGCATACCTCCAGATACTTGCAAAGGAGGCCGATCTGATGATGATTCTTCTTCATTATTTGCTGCCTGGGTGTAGGCTGCTAATAATTTTTTTTCCTCTTGCCTGAGGTGTGTGTCTTGAAGGATGTGATCCAGTCTTATCTGACATTGCTCCAAAGTAAGTCTAGCTTCCTTGGCCTTAATTTGGACCTCACCTGATTCTTTACTTACACCCTTGAAGACGACCTTAAGATTTTTGAGTTTGATGTAGATTTGGTACTAGAGGGACCGCTGCATTGGTTGGGACCATTCCTGGGAGACAAGGGTAAGAAAATCATCCTTGTCTGCTAAGAAATTGAAAAATTTGAATGGACAACATCTCCTTCTGATCTGAGGATAAATCTGCATCACTGCTGGCGAGTGATATGAGACTCTTACGGTTAGGAATTCAACAGCAGCTTGTTGGAACTTGGAGTTCCATGCCTCATTCACTAGGACCCCATCTAGCTTCCTAGTTACACAGCTACCACCTTCTCTTCTATTACTCCCTGTGTAGTAGATACCAAAGTACCTGAGGTCCATAAGTTTCGCATCTTGGGGGCAATTGTCAAAGTCTTCCATGGGTTGAGACGACGTGCAATTGAATCCCTTATGCTCCTGCTGGCTTCTCATAGCATTGAAATCCCCTAAAAGCATCCAAGGTTTGGTTGCAAATAGGCCTGCAGAGTAGCTTAGATTTCTCCATAAGTGCTTCCGCTCACTGTCATCATTTGATGAAGATAAAAGAGGAAAAAACTGATGCGTACTCTCCATATGATGCACATGGCAATGGATCACTTGATCCGTCTGTGAGAGTTTCTCAACTTCAGTTGAGCTAGGGTCCCATTCAACCCATATCCTTCCAAAAGGGTGACTATCATAGTTTGGAAGCCAGTTCCAGCCCCTATGTGTATTTTGCATGGTGAAATTTCTGTTTACAAGCCTAACCTTTGTTTCAACAATTCCCAGAATGCATAGGTTTTATTTATTTATTAGCTTCCTTATTTCTTCCTGCCTAGAGGTTTTATTCAACCCTTTGATGTTCCAGCAGGCACGCTTCATCTAAGAAGAGAAACTTTTCTGAGAATAGGGTGCTCAATCACTTTTGGTTTGTCCTGATTAGAGCTTCTTCTTCGCTTTCTTCTTCTTACTTTTGGATGTTTGCTTATCCTGGGTGCTAGAAGTTAAGGAGATGGGCTCCTTGTTTATGGAGTGTTGATATTCTTTGCCTGTAGAACCTGGAGCTAGCTCCACCACCAACTTACCTCCCTCTAAGTCCAGGTTTGCAAACCTTTGCTGGCTTCATGTTCAGTTGTGTCTGTTAACCTGATTGCATTAATCACTGAGTCTTCTTGATGAGGATCATAATTGGGGGCAATTGTATCATCTTCATTTGCAAGGTTATTTGTATTACTTCCAGGGCATACGGAAGTATCAGGCTTTTGTGCAGAGGAACTAGCTACTATTGTGGCAGCAGTTGAGGGCTCAACTATTACATCTATTGAGGCTATGCCCTTGCCCTTATGAGAAGTGAGTGATTGATTTTGAGGAATGTGGTTATCTTGTGACTTGGATTTCCAAACTTCAGTCTGTGCATTCAATGAGCTTGTTGCATTATCGAAGCTCCACTGGTAGTCCAATGTAAGTTCCACTAGCTCTGTTTGTTCATTTCTTTCCATTTTGAGCTCAAAACCATATTCCTGGTCTGTGACATCAACACTCAAAGGAACCAAGTCAACGAATCACTGGTTCAACTGCGGGTCAATCGATCAAACTAGACATTTAATTAAAAATAAAAAATAATTAGTAATAATAATGAATATGTTCAAAGTTTGTACAAGTTATAAAGATAACATGTTTTATGTTGTGATAGATGAACAAAAATGACAAAAAATATGCCCAATTCGTTAATTTGCTTACACAATTGATATGATTTGATGGAGCATAAAAAAATCATTAATAAACATTGAATATTTGATATAAATAGTAACAATGTGATAACCCCCAAAAAGAAATTGAAAGAAAAACAAAATAGCCCAAAAATATACAAGGCAATGAGAAAAGAAAAGAACAACTTAGCCAATTTAACAAGGGTGATGCCATTAGGCGAGGAGAGGGTTGCCTGTTTTATAAGTATTGTACAACACTGCATTCAGTTGACCAAATAGGGCTATGGGTTTGATAGCCCAAGTCTCATGATTGTGGCTGAGGTGCTCCAAAGTGGGCCAACGGACCATTAGCCGAAGTTCTAATGTTTATGAAAGACCACAATTAAAAAAAAGTTTGGTCTAGAAATATGGAAAACAGCCCTGTTTTAACGGATTTTAGAAATTTTGTCCGGTTCTGGCCAGTTCAAAGGGTTCTTTAGTTGGTTAATTATTTAAATGATCCAATGTAAGAACCGGTCCGGTTCAACAACCGGTTGGACGGTTTTTTGGGTTAACCCAACAGATTTAAAAAAATAGGAGAAAAAATGAATAAAAAATTAATTATGTATTTTGAATGGTATGTTATATTTCTTTATATCTCGTGCATATATTTTATTTATTTATTACATATTATTTACAGTTTTTCTTTTCTTCCATTTTTTTCATTCATACCAAATAAAAAAAAATCACTCATTTGTACTTTTCATATATACCTCCAACCAATCACAAAGGAAAAAAATAATGATTTTTCTATTGAAATATAAAATGTTTATCATTCTTATTTTTTATTCTTCCATCATTTATCCACAGTACCAAGCAAGAGTGTTTAGGTTCCAAGATGGGTAGAGAAGAGTGAAAAACATAAGGCATGTACATAAGGATGATCTTCTAAAAGTTCCAAAAGTTCACAATTGGCAAACCCAACTGCCGAGGGTGGCTCAACAACATTCGGAGCCTAAAGCAACGACGATCAATGACATTTTTTTATTTTTTTAATAATTATTTAATTATTTAATTTAAAATTTATTATTTTTATCGAAATTACTAATTATTTTTTATTTAATCTTTTTAATATATTTTTTGATTAATAATATGATTTTTTATCATAAATATTATAGGAAAATTGAAATTGTGGTATTAGAAGATTGACTTTATTATAAATAAATTCATTGTTATCTTTTTTTAAAATTATTTTACTATCTTTGAATTTTACTTATTTATCTATGCAACTTTCACCTAAATTTTTGTTATATTTATTTGTTATAAGTAAGAACTTTACCAAAACATTTTTTTAATGAAGATGAATGGTTTAATCGGTGTTTTGCGTTCAAATGAAAAAAAAAAAAAAGAAATGCAAATTTAAAAGAAGTAGAGAATATTTTTGGTTTGATTTTTTTTGTTTACTAAAGAGAGATGCTTATTATACTTCTTTCGATTAGAGAAAGAGATAAATTTTATCACTACTTTTTTTATGTTAATATTTTTTTGGCCTTTAGTAAATGTGAATGTGTGAAGGGGTCTGGACTTTTGGGCCCAAAATTTTAATTTCTTTGCTGGTTTATTCTCTCAAAAATTATTTTGTTTAGGCTATAATTTTATTTTTGAATTTATATTACATTTTTAATTTATAAATTTAGGTCATTTTTTATATGTAAGGCCTAAAGCCCACACTTTTATTTTTATGCAATAGGGCCTGCCTTGCCAACTGCAAAATTGATGAGTACCTAGAGTTAAAGACTGACACAACATACCATTCTTTTTTTTTAATTATTTTTTTTCTTTTTAGCTTTGAGACAACATATCATTCAAGCATACTATTCATTGATTATTTCATTGCTTGCAATTTTTGATAATGAGAAGAATTTTTTTTTTTTTTTTGGGTAAGCTCGCATGCATATTATGAGTCATTTCACATGAGATGGATGATATATTTTTCATGGTGCATAAGTCATAGTGTACTCATATCTTCTTAGATTTCTTCTTTATCACTATATTTTTTTAGGGTGTTTGTGTCTACTTACGTGTACCTTGAATAATCTCTTTTTCGATTAAAAGTAGATCATCTATGTTGAGAATAGGGAATTCAAGATGGATAAATCTCTAATGACCTAACTCTAATAAAATTGTCAAGTTTTAAAATTAAATATCTGAATTTATGCTTCTGTTTTCGCGGAGCTACTCCTTCGGTTACTTGGTCATTATTTGAGAGGGGTTGACTTGATCTGTTCTCTTAACTCAATTGCCATTAAGTTGGGTAACAAAAAACAACAAAAACAAAACAAGATAAAAACAAAGTAGTAGAGCCATTGATCCATTCCCCTTTGCTTTGTGATTTTGTCTGGATCTTTCAGTTTTCAACTGGAAATGTACAAATGTATAAGTGGAAAATCAACAGTGAAAGAAAACAGAGAACGACAGAGTGATTTAAAACATGAACATATTAGACGATAATCATTATGTTGTAATGTGTAAGGGGTCGTCTGCACTTAAAAAAGATCGATGCTATTTCGATTTAAATTGTTAACTTGATTAATTGATATAATTGATTTAACTGTGAATCCAAATATTTAATGGGATTTAGTGAGCTCTATTGGTTCACCAATTTTATTTTTTGTTTTATTATTGATTGGTGACACGACGTGACAATGATGTCATTTACACCTAACGATTACTCCAACATATGAGGGCTCAAAAATACTAGTGCGTTAGTCATTTAAAACATTAAATCGTAATATAAACTATTGGATCTAAACGATCTAGACTATTGTTGAGTAAAATTTAAATGAGTTACTGTTGTTTGAAAGTTAAAATTTAAATAAGTTACTATTGTTAAAAAATTAAAATATCAAAATTTAAGTTACTGTGATTAAATGGCAAAAAATAAAATGAATTATTGTAGTTAAAATGTTAAAATATTAAATCGTAATATAAACTCTAGGATCAAAAAGATCTAAATCGTTGTTGTGTTTTTTTAAGTGAAGAGCTTAAATAACTCAAGTAGGAGGCGCTGTTTTATTGATTACAATAATAAATTTATTTACAACAATGTTAAACTTATCAAAATTTCAATTCAGTTTTTTGTATTTGTGTGTGCAGGATCTTACACAATATAAATAGGAGAACAGATCTCTCCCGTGATGAACTCGAGTCAGTCAATCAAATGGTCAACCTTGCTATTGGGAACAGCCTGTGAGGACCTGTGGTAACCTCGAACGATAATGGAAGACCCACGTGGATCAACGGAGCGATCTAGTAAGGCTGAGGAAGGTTCCTGGAATAAAGAAAGACAAGTTAGAAGGGCACCGGAGTGTTTTTCGGCGTATCCCCTCCGACGATCAAATCAGTATTTGAGAGGGGGGAAAAAGAAAACATTGAGTATATGTTTTTGGAAAGGTTTTTTGTTGCGTACCGTCTTGCCTTTTGCGAGGAGTATTTATACCTCAAAAACTCATTATTGCTGTCAGTAAATAATCATTAGGTACATGCAACATGCGCACTGATTCCTATGAGGAATGTCTTCTCTCTTAACTGCTCGGGACCCCGAGCAATCACTGCGTCGTCATCGGCCTGCCGAATATTCAATGAGCTCCTCTTGGCAAGAGAGTAATAAATGCCCAGTATCAGGGACATTTATTGTCTTTCTCTTCCGAACCTTACCGCATTAAATGCTGTCTCATCAAGGGAATGACTTGATTAAATGTTTGCTTTCCCAAGTTGTGTGTCAGCAAGGACATCCGGTCTTTTTGTCTCTGATGTGACACCATATGCCACGTGCCCTTTCTCCATTGGCTGCATCTTCTGCCTTCCTGTGCCTTTTGACACCAATTGTGTAAGACGAGGTCATGATGGCTAACCTAGCCTAGGCTAGGCTAGTGACCTGTACATCAATAGCCTTTGCGGGAGCAGAGAATGCCATCTGGACGGCACACCTCGGAACCGAGGGGGAGGTACATCTCAGAGCCAAGAAGGAGGTACATATAGGGACCGATGTACCATATCACCTGACCGAGGGATACGTGTCGGTACGTAAATGTACTGGATGCCATTGATCCCTACGACCAACATCTCGGGGGAGAGTGACTTGTGAACCGATGGGTACGTGTCGTGATTATAGTAATAAGAATTTAGTGACATCAAGGACACGTGTGTTTATCTTAGAGTATTTTGAAAATATCCCATCAACTGCCCCCCAGCCTTCGATCTTCTGACACCGAGGACACGCGTCCTAAGAAGACGAAGGGTTCTACAACAACCTCAATCGCTTCATTATTGCTTCTAGCCGCTTTCCCCTGCTTAGGACGTCGTCCGCATTAAAAGCGCCTTTTCATGCTTCGCGCCCAATGATGGGATAGGTACTATATATAAATGGGCTTCCTCTTCTTCTTTTCTCATTTCGTCATTCCGAACTTTCTCCAGAGAGCCCCTACCTAAAACTTCGCCGGAGATCCCTTTCCTCCCGTTTGTCAACTGCCCAACCATTTCACTGGAGTCTTAAGGTCAGCAGACTCATCCTTGCTTCTGAACATTCTGGAAGGAGTCGCTTCAAGTTTTCCAGAAAAAACTTCTTTTTACATTCTGGTGAGTACTAGTATCTTCCTTCTTTTCGTTCTTCTGTCTTTTTTGGTTTTCCGACAACTGGAGGTATTTTCTGATTGCCACTCAGCGACCAATCCTCGGGAAGCCTCTTGGGGAATCTTCGTGGGAAAAAAAACAAAACACCCTCCACTTTTTATCACTTTTTGGAGATGTCTCGTCGTCGCCCTGCCCCCAAGAATCC